CTTCCAGGGATCTTCTCCTTGCTGCAACAGGGAGATCACCCTTGGTTTGGTAAACGGGAATCCTGCTCATAAGACAAAAAATAAATTAATAAAAAATTTGAGAAGCCAGAAAAACACCAGAGACTAAGAGAAACAGATTACAGCGACGACATGTGGCCCACAAGGCCTGAAATATTTACCCCTTGGCCCTCTATAGCGAAATTTCGCTGAGCCGTAGGACAGGCAAGTATAGGTTCAAGACTGAATAAATGAAGCCCTCTGCCAAAATGAGCAAGGAACCACAGGAGAACTGCTGTGGGAAAAAGAAGCCAGGACTATGAGGAAAGCGCCCATGGGCAACCACACAGAGGGAAGGCAGTGATCCCGATACCATCTCCTGTCCCTGTGTGTGGTCTGTTCTGTGCCTGTGACGGGGAGGATGCCTTCAACATTTATTTGTAGACATCCTATTTGTACAATCCTAAGGCAAAACCTGGGTGATGTTTTCTGATGATCAACAGCTGCTACTCAGGAAAGGAAACACCGAGACCTCCCTTTCCTGAACTTGTCTCTGTGGGGAATTTCCTTACCCAGGGAAGCCAGGTTCCTATAGTTCTCCAGCATCACGTCCCGGTACAACCTCCTCTGCAGAGCATCCAGCTTCCTCCACTCATCCCGAGTAAAGAGCACAGCCACATCCTCGAAGGTCACTGCCACCTGTGAGGACAAGCCACTGCAGCTCACTTGAGAAAAGCCCTCAGAGGGAAGAAGGCAGCAGTGGGGGAGGCAGAGGCAATCAGCAAATTCTGCTGATGCCACTCAAGGTTCTGAAGGTCCTGGTGGTCGGTGAGAAATGGAGCAGCATAAAGGAGGAACCTGGCAACTGCAGTTTGGATCCTCCTTGCCCCTCAAAGACCACTGTGTTGAAGTCTTATTCCCAGCCCCAAGGTGCCACTGAGAGGAGTGGAACCTTCAGGAGATGGGTTCTAGTGAAAAGGAAATGAAGTTATCAGGTAGGTGCCCTCACAGGGGACACTGGGACCCCGGCTGGTTCCTGTCCTTCTCTCTTTGCTTCCAAGGGTGGCCTCTTCCAGCCCCCTTGATACAGAGTCCTGCCCCAGCACAGGCCCATAGCTACAATGCCAAGTGACCATGGACAATGTCTGAAACCACAGCCAAAATTAATCCTTCTTTCTCATAAATTGATTATTTCGGGTATTTTATACTAGTAATGGAAAGCTGACTACCACACTAGCTGTGTGTCAATCACTACAAAAAATGTCTAAAGGGACTGGGGCAATCAATGAGTGTTAATGAAAATAATATTTCTGAAGGATATTAGAGATACCTATTGAAACACTTGGAAATGTGTATACTCTTTAACTCACTGGTCACTGTGTTTGGGTTGGAATGAGGATGCAATAGAGTACACAAAATTGAATGCACAATTATGATTCATGGTGATTATGATAGTGATTGTGATTATGGTGATTACGATAGTGAAAAAAAGGTATTATCGTGATTATGATAGTGAAACATGGTGATTATGATAGTGAAAAAAAAGGAAACCTGAACACTTACTGTGGAAAAATACACTAAATAATGTTATGACACTGTCTGTGTGCTTAGTCAAGCTTCAGGATAGTAATTACAAAAATTAGAATGGCTATCAGATACCAACTGCTTTCCACAGGCCAAGTATAGTACTGCTCTTAGTGCTTTGTGGTCATCTTTAGTGTATAATATATTTACTCTCCACTACAATCCTATGCAGAAACAATTACCATTGTCCCTATTCTGCACAAGAGAAAACAGTGCCACAGAGCATGAAAAATGTGCCCAAGTCACACAGCTTCTACCACACAGTGATAGAAGAGGAAATTCAATCCACGTGGCTGTCTGAAGCCCCATTCTTTTTTTTTTTTTTCTGTCATTTTGAGACTTTGCAGTTCAGGTTGGCCTTGAGCTCACTTTGTAGCCCAGGCTAGTCTTGAATTCGCAACGATCCTCCTGCCTCAGCCTCTAAGTGCTGGGATTAGAGGCGTGCCACCACACCTGGCTTGAGGCTCCATTCTTAACTGATCTGCAAAACTGTGTCTCAACACCTACCTCAGAAGGATAACAAATGAGATAATCTACATGTGTGACCTAAGTTCTCCAATGAACCCACATCTGTATGAAGTAAGATCCTTAAGACTGACCTTAGCTGAGTAGAACATGGTGACTGTGGAGAGATGGAGTGCTGCAGGTCCAGAGTCCAGATTATCCTGGGCTACTGCAAGGACTCTGGAAAACCAGCCATCTATTTTAACTTTTGTTATCTGACCTCACATTCTCCTACTAGGTAAACCTCCTGAAAAGCACCACTAAGCTTAACAAAACTCCAGCCTCCACCAACCCTAAAGCTAAGAACAGGGTAACACATGATTTCTATAAGAAAAAATTCCCCCTTTGTAACAGGCTGTCTACCTAATGCCTAATGCCAAATTGAACTGTTTGTTAAATGTAATAATTTTTGCCTTTCTTTGTTCGTTGGCTATAAGAGTTTGTTTAGTCTCCTTCATGTTAGAATATGTCATTAAGGTAACTTGAATCTGCCTTTTCAGGTCATGGTCACTGATGTCTAGCTCAGAATAAACTATTTTCTTATTTCCTTTAAGCAGACTTCGTATTTTATCTCAACATACACAACAGAGAGGGACAGTAATGATAGTTGCTCAATACTGTGAATGTATATACTTAAAATGCAACTGAATTGCACACTCAAAAGGGGTTAAAATGGTAAATTACACGGATGTACATTATGCCACAACAAAGTTTAAAATGGTGAAATACACACATCCATATGCACATAAATAAATGTACAGACAATGATTCCGAAGGCTGCACAATGAAGGCCTGTCAGTAAATACCTCCAGATATTGAAGCAATGGTACTTTTACTTTCTTTTTTATGTGATATTATGAAATATATATTTAGGCTTCATCCTGATTTCCTGGCACACAGCTCCCAAAATTCTTAAAATCATCAAAGTGATAAGCAATCTCTCCATGTTAATGAGCTGATTCCTGGCTGTGACTCCTGCAGAGTGTCAGGAGAGGGACTGAGGGGAATCTGGTGAATGATTTAAGCAGCCTTGAATATGTAGTGAAACCTTCATAAACACCCAGACAGCACTGAGAGAGCCTGACCATGGAACGCATGGAGGTTCCTGGAGACTGGAGCAGCCTGCGTGGACCGGGAGCTCCACACCCCTTGTCCCACATCACGCTAACCTCAGTCGATGCGTTTCTTCATGTAAAATGTATTCACCTCATAACTGGCCCAAACTTGAAAGTGGTGCCTGAAGTAAGAAGCAGAATGAGCTCTTAACTGCTGGGATCTGGTGTAGACAGTGTCAGAACTGAACTGAATTAGAGGACACCAACTGGGGTCTGTATCTGCAGCAGAGCTTGCTTGGTGGGCGTGAACAAATGTCACACTTTGGTATGTGAAGTGTTACGAGAGTATAGTGGGAGACACTGAGTTCATTTTTCTACTCGGATATATTTCTTACATCTTAAAATTTTTAATGTGAGCATACAACATACATACGATAAGATAATGTATTGGCATATGGGGAGAAAACAAGAAATGATCTTTGTCCTCAAACAATTTATAATCTAATTGGCAGAAAAAGGAAATGCATAAAATAATCTGAACAACTGAAGAAAGCCATGCAGGGACCTGGGCTTAACTCGTGGTAGAATACTTGCATGGCATGCTAGAGGCCCTGCTTTAATTCCCAGCACCGAATGGGAAAAAGTGCTTAGCTGGGAAGGCAGAACCATATACCACCACCTCGTTTAATCTTCACTACAGAGACAGGAAATAGAAAACTGAGATGCAGGCAGACAAGACTCAAAGCCATACCCTCTACAAGGGCAGCAGCAGGATCATAACTGAAACTTTCCAACTGTGAACTCAGCTCTCAGTCTGTTCTTTCTCTCATCTTAAACTTGCCATCCC